TGAGCGCGGGCTGGCGGCTCGGGAGCGGATGGTCCCTGGGGCCCGGGGCAGGGCCGAGCGGGGCGGCTGGCCGGGCCGCCTCGCCGGCGGGAGGACGATGGCTCTGCTTGGGCTGTGGTGGGTCACCCTCCCGACCTCCCTCCCAGACCGACCGCTGTCACGATGGCCAGAGCGAAAGCGTGTGAAGCACAGCAGCCTTCCCCGGCAGGATGGATGAAGAGGAAGCTACAGCACATGGATATCGGGGTAGTCTTTTTTCATTTTCTGCCCCGGCTTATGGTAGGAGCACATGGTCGTCGTAACAAGCCGCGGCGCTGGGAGGAAGAATTGCCTCATGGAATTGCAAGCACTTTCCAAGCAAAGGTGGAGTCTGGAGCAAACAGCAGATCCAGCCGATAGCGGTTGATAAGCCTGGGGAGTATCGTATTGCTGCTTTGCATACCTCAAAGAGGCGCCTCAGTCCTTGTGGAGCAGGAAGAGGAGACAGCTCTAACAGACTGGCTCCCGGCACCCAGATAATGAGAGACATCTCCTCTCTTCCTGCAGCAAGCAAGCTTATTCCTTGGCTCATGAAGCAATGGTTTCAGTAGCAGCTTTTTCTCTACTGCAACCCTGAATGGATCCTCTCTGCATTTGATGAGCAACAGTAACTCAACAACCTTAGAACTTCAGAGTTCATCTGACATTGAAGGAAAACCGCTTTTCGCCTTGCATAACAATTGAATTAAACTGGAAAGCCAGTAGGACGGGATGAAATTATGTATGCCTTCAAAATAAAAGCCCAAAACAAACAAAAAGCCTCCACCACTCAGATGCTGCTTGGCCAAAAGAAATTGCTAATAGGCAACTGCATTTTTCTTCCGTGTTTGTACTGAAACCACCTACTGCTACAGGATGACCTGGGAGATAGGATTTAGCGGCCTCCATGCAGGGCTGTCAGTGAGGCAAACCTTCAGCCTTGCAAACCACCTAGTGCTCCGTGCCCAGGGTGCATACCACCAGCTCCAGCTATCCAGACTTCTGCAGGACGTCTACACTAGGCACAGCTCTGTCAGCTTCCTTGCGTGTCCCATGCTTCTCCCGGGTCCTCAACAGAGTTAAATAGGTGGGTCTGTGACCAACCATGTATGTTTATATAGCGGCATTGTTTTAAGCAGACATCACTTCATCCAAAGTAGCCAAACTAAAGTGTTTTTACTAGTGACAGTTAGTAAAGGTCTTCCAGAAGAATAGGGAACTGTAAATATGCTGCTCCTTTTCTTGAATCATTCCCCCTAAACAGACGCCACACCACCCCCTCCAAACTCCAACCAGGAAAGGAAAAGGTGGGAGAAGTAAAAAAAAGGAAGAGGAGACGTGAAGAAACGTACAAGAAACAAGACACGGAGCTTTGGAAACTGGAAATAAAATAGGCTCAGACCTGGATAGGAATCCAGAGAAAATGCCGAAGTATTAATTTATGATGCACAGTGGTCATTCCTGCAGGCCCATGCTGTGACATAATAGTATAAGCTAGGTTTTCTTCAGTGGTAATGATGCCCTTTTCTCTGAAGTTACGTGGCTTTACAGAAAGACATCTCGGACAGGATTACAATAGTGCACGTATTTTACTTCACAAACTTCATTTCTGCTTCACAGCAACAGCTATGGGAGACACCGCAAGCGTTTTCGTTTCTGTGCAGGAATGTTTTAGTTGTGCGATCAGAGCTGAACACCACGAGGCAAGGAGAATCAGTACAGCCTGCCCTGTCCGTTGGATTTTTGTACACCACTGGTGGCTGACAGACCTTCGTCCGTGACCAGCTAGTTTAAGTAGGTCGGTCAGTCATGCTTTGCTTAGAAGTGGCTGGATTGACCTCTGATTGTCCTCAAGGACACCAGAAACAAATTCTTTTTCGTTCCGATATTCTCCATCTTAAGTACTTTTGACATGAACCTAAACCAGCAACCCATAAGTAAGGTCCAGCCATCCTCACAAATCAGTACGGGATAGAAAAAAAATGGAAAAAAAAAATCTGCTTCCAACAGCATCCAAGACAAAGCTTTGCTGAATTTGTATACAACAATCCCAGACAGGCGTATGTGGATTCAGGTATTTTTTGAGCCAGCACTTGGCAAGTTAATTTGCCCCATGCCCTCTGCTGCTGTTTCTGTTCCCATCCCTCCTTAGACCACACATACGTGTCTTCAAATTCTGGAAGTTGCCTCAGCTCCAGTCTTAGCGTTGCCAACGTGCACCTGGCAACAGGGTGTCCCAATTTAGGAGTTCCTTCATCACAGCCAGCCCAGTGCTACGGTTCTCGGGCAGCGACACCTTCCCAGACGTAGGTGGCAGCGTTCAGCTGCTGGGTAACGCTTGCTGAACTGACAGCCTCTCCCCACATCTTCTTCACGGAAGACAGCAAGCAACCCATGGGTTTTTGTCTTCCTGGGTACTCTTGTTATTTAACTGCCTTGTAAGTCACGTTATTTCAAAAATTTCCTGCATCCAAAAATGTTTTCCCAAGCCGTAATCAGACAACGTACTGTTCACTTGGCTATTTTAACCTGGACAATGTTAAATTGACGATTGTTAGAATTGTGCCTCGGTCTCTTTCGAGCTGTCCTCTCACTTGGGCATTTTCTTGCCTCCCAGTATTTTATGTCTAAGTCTAGGAAAAGTAAACAATCAGTTTCCAGTTAGTCTGATACATGGCACTGGGCTTCGCTTAAGTAAGGATCTAATTAGCTTTTCTGCTATAATTTACACCAAACGCACCGTAGTCCCAATCATCAGCAAGATTCTGCCCAATATAAACATTTATATCTCTGACTTTTTAAAGAAGGAATTTTAACAATCATAACTATGCTGGGGTGGGGGGGGGAACCACGGAACATGTTGATGCATTGACCCATCTACGTCCATGCTGCCATGGACAATTTTACAAGAACTGTAATTCGGGATAGGAATTCAAATGGCTGTACAGGCATTGTAGTAGACTGGATTCTAAATAAACTTTTGAGTGGATTTTCCCTCCACCTTATTTCACCTCTCTGTCACACAGAGCCATGGGATGTAGCAGTTAAATCCCACGTCCAAGTATCAGAGACACATTCCAGTTTATTTGTCAAAACAAGTTTTTGGACATACTCATCACCACGACAGGAAGATTTGCAGTATTGAAGGTTGCAACCAACCACAATTTTTTAAAATTTAAGTGAACAGTGCAGCTGGTAGTATAGGAGTGATTTCTTCAATCAGCGCTCCCGTGACAACAGTGTGCTTTTTTTAGACTGGGTAAAACCGACTGCGGAGCACGCTGGTTTTGCCTTCCCCAGCTCGGATGGCCCACGATAAGATTGCTACAGCAACCACCTCTTTCCTCAGGCCAATCCTAAAGCAGGAACACTTCCCCCCCACCCCCACCCCAGCTG